TGCTTGCTCTCGCTCTCTCTCTCTCTCTCTTTCTCGTTAGAACACGGAATCAGCCGTTTCTCTCCTTTAGTTTGTTATAAACTTCATTATTATAGCGTTCGCATGTTGACATCCATCATAAACTAGGTAAATACACTTGTTTTTAATTAGCAAAACTGTGTACGTCAACAGTGTGCTGCCACCATATTCTCTATTATAGTTAATTAACGCAGTAGAAACAAAAGCACGCTATAATTTCCTGTCGTATTCCATCACACAGAGTAGGTTTCAAATATAGTGTAATCTGTGAGCCTGAGCTATGGCACCTCACTAAAGTAACGAGGATGTCGTTCAGTATTCCATTAAGGATTTAGCAGCTACGGAAGCTTCAAATTTTCCGTTCCAGCAAAGCTAGAGTTATTATTACTTGGGAATTACCATCACTCATGATGGCCTTTCCCATACTTGGGAGAAATGGAATTTATATGAAGATATCTCCATCAGTGAGCAAAATACTCAAATTTTATTTAGAAGAGGAAAAAATGAGAGGGGGAGGGAAACTGAGAGTACATTATACATTTAATATCTCAACTTACATACATAGAAACAACGCATATTCACCACTGCGATAGACAATGGACATTTTAAAACATTTTTTAACACAGGCCGTCTCCCACCGACGCAGTGTGACCCGAAAAAGAAGAAACAATAGTTTTTTCTTTTTACATTTCGTAATTTATACAGGAGTTACTAGCCATAAAATTACATTATATTCTTTAATAATACATACAAGCAGAGTAAATTTATCTGTTGCACTAGCTTGATATAAACAATCTAAACACTACGAAACAATATACTTCACTTGTAATCAGCAACACTCACTAAATATAAGCTGACACAGAGTGACGCTGCTCGCTACGTAAGTCTACCATAACCATCTGAAACATTTCAGTTCTTACCAGAACTTCATATTAACACTTGAAACATTTCATTTATTTATTACCAGAATTTCATATTAGCAATTTATATTAATGAATTAATATCCAAATTAATGATTTACCTTAAGAAAATTATAATCGCCCATTTACAGACCACGATACTTGTTCCAAAATGCTGTAAGCTAGAGACCACGATATTTGTTGCCAACTGCTGTCAACTTGAGACCACGATACTTGTTGCTAAGTGCTGTCAACTAGAAAGCACGATACTTGTTGCTGAGTGTTGTCAACTAGAGACCACAATAAACAGATCTGAGGTTTTGATATACCTACTTATCTGTACGTCACTGTAAAACTTGCGTTAACTGTAATGCTCATCTTCACTATAATAAACTCACTAATACTCGCCCTCACTGTAACATTAATCACCATTAATGGTCAATCTGAGTTTAATATTCGCTCTTTACTGTAATACGTTACCTTACCTACATGATGCTACAATGTACTCTGTATACATGATGCTACAATGTACTCTGTATACATGATGCTACAATGTACTCTGTATACATGATGCTACAATGTATGTATACATGATGCTACAATGTACTCTGTATACATGATGCTACAATGTACTCTGTATTACATAATGCTACAATGTACTCTGTATACATGATGCTACAATGTACTCTGTATACATGCTACAATGTACTCTGTATACATGATGCTACAATGTACTCTGTATACGTGATGCTACAATGTACTCTGTATACGTGATGCTACAATGTACTCTGTATACATGATGCTACAATGTACTCTGTATACGTGATGCTACAATGTACTCTGTATACGTGATGCTACAATGTACTCTGTATACATGATGCTACAATGTACTCTGTATACATGATGCTACAATGTACTCTGTATACATGATGCTACAATGTGCTCTGTATACATGATGCTACAATGTATTCTGTATACATGATGTTACAATGTACTCTGTATACATGATGCTACAATGTATTCTGTATACATGATGCTACAATGTACTATGTATACATGATGCTACAATGTATTCTGTATACATGATGCTACAATGTACTCTGTATACGTGATGCTACAATGTACTCTGTATACATGATGCTACAATGTACTATGTATACATGATGCTACAATGTATTCTGTATACATGATGCTACAATGTACTATGTATACATGATGCTACAATGTACTATGTATACATGATGCTACAATGTATTCTGTATACATGATGCTACAATGTACTATGTATACATGATGCTACAATGTACTCTGTATACATGATGCTACAATGTACTCTGTATACATGATGCTACAATGTACTCTGTATACATGATGCTACAATGTACTCTGTACAGAACAATTCTTGCCTGATGAGCAAAATAAATTTAAAATTTACAGCTGACATGAATGATGTTTAAAAAACTTATATTAGAGAAGAAACTTACCTTGCTTACAAAATGTTACCTGTCAGCTTGACTGACTGACTGACTGACTGACTGACAGGTGGCAGGAAATCTTAATTGCATAATATATCAATCACAATTTGCACTTGTTTCACGAGTGACTGGGACCATATGTAGTGTCTTATGACAGCATGACCTGGGACCATATGTAGTGTGTTATGACAGCATGGTCTGGGACCATATGTAGTGTCTTATGACAGCATGACCTGGGACCATATGTAGTGTGTTATGACAGCATGGCCTGGGACCATATGTAGTGTCTTATGACAGCATGACCTGGGACCATATGTAGTGTCTTATGACAGCATGACCTGGGACCATATGTAGTGTGTTATGACAGCATGGCCTGGGACCATATGTAGTGTCTTATGACAGCATGGCCTGGGACCATATGTAGTGTGTTATATGACAGCATGGCCTGGGACCATATGTAGTGTCTTATGACAGCATGGCCTGGGACCATATGTAGTGTGTTATGACAGCATGGCCTGGGACCATATGTAGTGTCTTATGACAGCATGACCTGGGACCATATGTAGTGTCTTATGACAGCATGGCCTGGGACCATATGTAGTGTCTTATGACAGCATGGCCTGGGACCATATGTAGTGTGTTATGACAGCATGGCCTGGGACCATATGTAGTGTCTTATGACAGCATGGCCTGGGACCATATGTAGTGTGTTATGACAGCATGGCCTGGGACCATATGTAGTGTCTTATGACAGCATGGCCTGGGACCATATGTAGTGTCTTATGACAGCATGGTCTGGGACCATAGTGTTTCTTGACAGCATGGCCTAGAACCATATGTAGTGTCTTATGACAGCATGGCCTGGGACCATATGTAGTGTCTTATGACAGCATGGCCTGGGACCATATGTAGTGTCTTATGACAGCATGGCCTGGGACCATATGTAGTGTCTTATGACAGCATGGCCTGGGACCATATGTAGTGTGTTATGACAGCATGGCCTGGGACCATATGTAGTGTCTTATGACAGCATGGCCTGGGACCATATGTAGTGTGTTATGACAGCATGGTCTGGGACCATAGTGTTTCTTGACAGCATGGCCTAGAACCATATGTAGTGTCTTATGACAGCATGGCCTGGGACCATATGTAGCGTCTTATGACAGCATGGCCTGGGACCATAGTGTTTCTTGACAGTATGGCCTGGGACCATAGTGTTTCTTGACAGCATGGCCTAGAACCATATGTAGTTTCTTATGACAGCATGGCCTGGGACCATATGTAGTGTCTTATGACAGCATGGCCTGGGACCATATGTAGTGTCTTATGACAGCATGGCCTAGGACCATATGTAGTGTCTTATGACAGCATGGTCTGGGACCATATGTAGTGTCTTATGGCAGCATGTCCTAGGACCATATGTAGTGTCTTATGACAGCATGGCCTGGGACCATATGTAGTGTCTTATGACAGTATGGCCTGGGACCATATGTAGTGTTTTATGACAGCATGGTCTAGGACCATATGTAGTGTCTTATGACAGCATGGCCTGGGACCATATGTAGTGTCTTATGACAGCATGGCCTGGAACCATATGTAGTGTTTTATGACAGCATGGCCTGGGACCATAGTGTTTCTTGACAGCATGGCCTGGGACCATATGTAGTGTCTTATGACAGCATGGCCTGGGACCATATGTAGTGTCTTATGACAGCATGGCCTGGGACCATAGTGTTTCTTGACAGCATGGCCTGGGACCATATGTAGTGTCTTATGACAGCATGGCCTGGGACCATATGTAGTGTCTTATGACAGCATGGCCTGGGACCATAGTGTTTCTTGACAGCATGGCCTGGGACCATATGTAGTGTCTTATGACAGCATGGCCTGGGACCATATGTAGCGTCTTATGACAGCATGGCCTGGGACCATAGTGTTTCTTGACAGTATGGCCTGGGACCAGTGTTTCTTGACCGTGTGGCCTGGGACCATAGTTCAGTGTAATAATAAACTCCATAAACAAGAAATGACGTGAGTCACAACCAAATGAAAAATAATAAAATCTGTCATATATGAAAGCGACTGGATTTATTCTATGATTTTTTTTTTCGGTGTACAGTCATACGCCGCTTTACGTCACTTCGGTCTACGTCAACTTCGTCTTTACGCCACTTTTCTAGAGTAAATTTCAGTTCAGCGAACGTCATTACGTCCGACTTTACGTCATTCAGTAATGTCACCTACGTCATAATTTTTTAAGTGTGTTAATTATCTTTAAAAAATATAACTAAAAAAGTGTTTTTAGTGTTCTTTAAGGTTTAGCAATAGTTTTATTTTTTCGCGAGTTATTTACACTAGTTTTACGGTGTCTGTCATTTTAAGACATTATGTCCGGTTTACGTCAAAAATCAGGTTACGTCACGGCTCTTGGAACCATTTAATGACGTAGGGCGGAGTATGACTGTATTTACATTACAAAATATTAAAAAATGGTGTTTATTATGCAATGTGGTTTCAATCAAAAAAACTGCGCCATTAACTAAAAGGAAGAGGCACTATGCTTTGGGAGCAACAATAGTTAAGAGAAAGTAATTGAGGTGGTACTCACACTGCCAGGTGGTAGATGACAGCCCTGATGCCTCTGGGTCTCTCCAGGAAGTTGTAGACCCGTGCCTGCGTCCGTCTGTACCTGACGTCCCTGCGCGAGGTCTTGTAGTTGATTGGTTTGCCCAGAAGGCTCATCCTGGGGTGATGCAGACGAGACCCGCCCACACGACCTAACCGACGGAAGTCATGACCGCTGAGGACACAACAACAACACACAGTTAGCATGGCTACTATAAAAATACTGATTTTAATGGACTTTTCATATTTAAAAAAAATGTAAAATATTAAAATTTTTTTAAAAAAATATGCTAAAATGTGATTTTATTTTATATTTCGCCTATTCAGTGAGATTTGAAGCATTTTCTGACATATATCAATTTTTAGCTTAAATATACATATCTATAACTTCTATCTCAGCACCCTAATATATCATAGATTAAATCAATTTTCCTATATAATAAAAGTAAGTTACTAATGACACGAATAAACCAATTTGTAGTTTATATTTCCGATTCACACTGAGGCGTGTGTGGGACATTCAACGCTGGGAGTGATGGAGGCTCGATCCACTGTCCACTAATCGTGCCTAGAGGCCTATGTAAAGCACTTATCTTTACTTCTACTCTGCCCCTTCATTAATCAATTAAAACATATTAGTTGCTGGTGAGAAAGGGAGTGAAGGCAAGAGGCAATTATCCTGCAGAAGACAACATTTCTAGAGAATCAGGAAGCAGGAGCACAAGTGGCAGGCCTCTAATGAAAGACAATTAATGCCAGCAGCTGTGTAAGCCAGACTAATTATTTACATGCAACTATTCTAGACAAAGCTGCGTAATTGTTTAGGCAAGACGAAGTGAAAGAGGAAGGCAGCAAGGGAAAGAGGTAGGGAGTAAGAGTCGGAAAGGGAGGGATTTATAAGAGGAGGTAGTGATCAATAAAGGGGGTAGGGAATCATAGTAGGAATAATAAAAAGGTAGGTATTTAGTCAGACAAGAAGGGAGTGAATTAGACGGGATGAGAGAAGGGAGGAGAGCAGGGAGTCAGAAACAGAGGGAATGAGTCAGGCAGAGAATGAGCGAAGGAGAGCATAAACTGAAGGAAATGAGGTAGGGTGATGGAGATTAATCAAGGAGGGAGGAACGATAAGTTAAGAGGAAAGGAGTAAAAGGAGAAAAGCAATAAACAACGAAGAACTACTGACAAATACTATACATCCGGACAATAAAGAAAACAAAATAATAATAATAATAATAATAATAATAATAATTTAAGATTTCTAAATGTGTCACATCATCAGTATAGTTTTAAACATGCAACCCAAAAAATTTCATCACTCATACAGTACTGTAAATCCTCCAGATCCATCACGTGAGACACAGAAAGGAGACAGAGTGTGAAGCAAGTGGGTAACAAGAAAAAAATTTAACTGAAAGAGAAATATGCTTTGATGGCTCCTCGTTAGTGAGTCGCTAAGTTTTATTTGCCAGGAGAAACATATCTGCTCCAATAAACTCCAAAGGCGCATGCAAACTATTGAATAAAAAAAATATACACACGTGTGTATATATGTATATATATATGTTTTTATATAATATATATATATATATATATATATATATATATATATATATATATATATATATATGTGTGTGTGTGGTGTGTGTGTGTGTGTGTTGTGTGGTGTGTGTGTGTGTGTTTTGTGTGTGAGGTCCTATTCCAGAAAATAACCATATACATTTGTAGATAGTAAAACTATAAAACTGGTATTTGGAAATTTGATTCAGACAAGGTTTCACTACTTGAGCATCTATCATGTACAACTGGTGGTATTCCTGTAACATCTACTGTTACGACAGTCAAATACTTGAGCATCTATCATGTACAACTGGTGGTATTCCTGTAACATCTACTGTTACGACAGTCAAATACTTGAGCATCTATCATGTACAACTGGTGGTATTCCTGTAACATCTACTGTTACGACAGTAAAATACTTGATCATCTATCATGTACAACTGGTGGTATTCCTGTAACATCTACTGTTACGACAGTCAAATACTTGAGCATCTATCATGTACAATGGTGGTATTCCTGTAACATCTACTGTTACGACAGTCAAATACTTGAGCATCTATCATGTACAACTGGTGGTATTCCTGTAACATCTACTGTTACGACAGTCAAATACTTGATCATCTATCATGTACAACTGGTGGTATTCCTGTAACATCTACTGTTACGACAGTCAAATACTTGAGCATCTATCATGTACAACTGGTGGTATTCCTGTAACATCTACTGTTACGACAGTCAAATACTTGATCATCTATCATGTACAACTGGTGGTATTCCTGTAACATCTACTGTTACGACAGTCAAATACTTGAGCATTATCATGTACAACTGGTGGTATTCCTGTAACATCTACTGTTACGACAGTCAAATACTTGAGCACTATCATGTACAACTGGTGGTATTCCTGTAACATCTACTGTTACGACAGTCAAAAAACTTGAGCATCTATCATGTACAACTGGTGGTATTCCTGTAACATCTACTGTTACGACAGTCAAATACTTGAGCATCTATCATATACAACTGGTGGTATTCCTGTAACATCTACTGTTATGACAGTCAAATACTTGAGCATCTATCATGTACAACTGGTGGAAATTCCTGTAACATCTACTGTTACGACAGTCAAATACTTGAGCATCTATCATGTACAACTGGTGGTATTCCTGTAACATCTACTGTTATGACATTTAAAATACTTGATCATCTATCATGTACAACTGGTGGTATTCCTGTAACATCTACTGTTATGACAGTCAAATACTTGATCATCTATCATGTACAACTGGTGGTATTCCTGTAACATCTACTGTTACGACAGTCAAATACTTGAGCATCTATCATGTACAACTGGTGGTATTCCTGTAACATCTACTGTTACGACAGTCAAATACTTGAGCATCTATCATGTACAACTGGTGGTATTCCTGAAACATCTACTGTTACGACAGTCAAATACTTGAGCATCTATCATATACAACTGGTGGTTTTTCCTGTAACATCTACTGTTATGACAGTCAAATACTTGAGCATCTATCATGTACAACTGGTGGTATTCCTGTAACATCTACGGTTACGACAGTGAAATACTTCCTCCATTCCTTTAATTAAGGTCAATCTGTGCCGTGCCGGTGAAGATTATCGGCTGGAAAAATAATTATCTCTTTTTCGAGGCTGACAGCTCTCAAAGTCTGAATACAAAGAGTTAAAAAAGAAACCTTGAGAACCTTACAAAGTTTGGAGAGAAGAGGTGTTGCAGGAAGACCCGAGTAGGATGATTCAGGCCACTGAGTTTGTCTCTCATCCTCTGTAGACCAAATAATACTAACTGCGAACACGTTGCAACTATTCTGATGTTAGTTAATTATATGACAACTAAAGCGTATCTCTAGTAATCCATTTAAAAATAGCTAGCAGAAAGTGAGGAAGAATCTGTTACTGACATACACTCACACAGACACACATAACACACAGTTTTCTCACCTTGAAATTCTTTTCAGACTTTTTAAATAGGGTTGAAAATTTGTATACCAATGGTATTCTATCATAGAATAATGTGACATAATATGGCAAACATATATATAATGTCGTGACGAATAGGTAAAACTTGAGATTTTGGCTTAAATAGCAACGCTCTTCTTGCCGAATAAGGCAAATGAAAATTTGTGTATGCAATAATTTCGCAAAAAAACATTCTGAACTTAACGAAAAAATATATTTCATTATGTTTGTTTATTATTAAATTATTGTAAACTTATCTAAAATATTTTTAGTTGGATTAGGCTAAATTAAATTGCGCTTGTTATAATAAGATTAGGTAAGTTTTCTAAGATTCTTTTGGTGCAAAATTATTAATTTTCACATTAACATAAATGAAAAAAATATATCTTTAAACGTATAAGAGAAAATTTAAAAAAAGGATTTAAATTTAAATGAGTTCTTGCTAAATGACCAATTTTACCTATTCGGCACGACATACATATATACATACACGTATATATATATATATATATACATATATAATATATATATATATATATATATTATATATATATATATATATATATATATATATATATATATATTATGCAAGCAAAATAACCCCAGTGAAAAAGTGAAATTCATGAGAACAGAAGACTTATAAGGCCTAGATATGACTTCACACATGATCCAACTCGGTCGGTTACACAATAATATGGACAAGTGATAGTCAGGCCAAAAACGCATCTAATCACCATCATCTGGTCTAGTGTCATTGTGGAATCATGTTAAGTAGGTGGTTATTACACTACAACTCTCAGGTGTCATGTGAAACTTTGTATTAAAATTTAAGAACCAAATGTGTGTCTGGTTGTCACCTGATACTACTGTTCTTCAAGTATCCAGATTATATCCAGGATATTTTCTTCAAAAAAATTTACAAAAATTCTCCTTAATATCCTATATCACAAAATCTCCTGAATATTGCCAACAGAAATATTAAACATTCCCTATCACTAAAAAATTCTTAATATTCCTTGAAGTTTTCAACATTCCTTATCACCAAATATTTTAGGTAAGCCTTGACTACAATATCCCGAGTATGCCTATCTTTCACAGGCTTGTTAACACATCCCAAGTATTGTAATTGTAACTACCTGTATTTCTAGGTATTCTAGAAGACTGAATGACACCTATCTCAAGAACCCCAGTGGCGACAAGTTACTCTCCGTCTACTATTTATGATAGCAGCAGATCACAATGTTGCGTAACTTTACCGATATGCAGCTCTTCCTCAATAAGTGCTGCTACTGCTGACATGTTGGCATCACTGCAGAAGAATGCTTTACCAGAAATAAGACAGATCAACAGTGTGAACATCACGGGCAATGACACTATGAAATGGATCAAATGGAAGAACTATAAAAGTTTTCCAAACAGCAAGACAGACAAATCCACTTGTCACCACCTGCTACTTCCTATTACAATTTACCCTCAGAAAAAAAAAATGGAACCAGAGAAATTGAGTAACAACGCTGTGCTGCTGTAGGTGAGAATATGTCACATTCGCTTCTCACTTTCTCAATAATGAGACATTACACAAGTGTTGCTTGATATGCTGTTGACAGGCGGTGGAGA